ACTTAGCAGAGATGCTAAGTTAGGTTTAACAAGTCCACAACATACTAAAGTATCTTGTGTGAGCAGAAGTTGTCTGGCAGTCACAACTGGGGTTTCTGGCAGAACCATGCCATCTCATCAGGACAGCAAGGGAGGGAGGGTAGGCGGGCAGGCTGTCTGGGAGCAGTTGGATGTTTTAACCTCCTCACTAGGCATATTGGCCCATAATATTTATTTAATGTTAATAATAAGCATTTTGATAAGGATGTGGTTGATATATGGAAAGTAAAAGTGAGGAAGCTGTTGTCAAGGAATATGAAGGGTTGCAGATTAATTTAAACACAAGGAATAGTGTTTTCTCTAAAATGATAGCAAAGAGTAAAAACATTTTCAAGTGGGGACAGGAGGAGCAGGTACCCCAAGCTGTATGAGCAAGAGCAGTTCTGAGGATTTGTGCTTTGTATGTTGATGAGCAGCATAGCTGCTGAGCTCTGTGGCCTTCTAATGTTTGAGCCCCACATCATTCACTGCATCGTGCTTTTACCATATTAGTTGCTTCTTTGCTATGGTAAGCTTTTCATGGCAGTGGCACCTCTCCTTCCTTCTGGCACACTTGATCCTGCCTATTCTGGCAATCAAATAATAGATGAACAGCAAACATCTGAATAGCCATTATTATGCTGCAGCTTTCCAGCCATGGTATTGCTGTGCCACTTTTAATAATTCAGAAGTGATGGAGAGGTGGAGGAGTGAAAGGGATGCAGCAATCTTTATTTCTCTCAGTAGCGTGTGATTCCTCCTTGGTGGCTCTGTAGTTACCAGGGAAACGGGAGAGGGCTGGCACAGCACCAGCACAGCACTTGCAGGGCTGGAGTGGGACTTGTGGGTCAGTTCTGTGGCAGCCCCACATCTGTATAAAGGGAGAAAACTAGGGCTTGCCGTTCTTTGGTAGGGTGCCTTTTGCCCTCTTCTCCTCAGCAGTTTTGTTAAACTTTATTGTTAAGTGATTCTCCCAAATGTTGGTGTATTTGTTAAAGTGTCTTTCTATTAGTGATTCTAGTGAAAATGCACAGTGTCAGAAGATGAGCATTACTGGGGGTCTGGAGGAGTTGCATGAGGTAGCGTAGGAATATGAAATCTTTCACTGGTATAAACTGGAGCCCTGGTTATACTGTCACTACTGGAAGGTTGTTTAATGTGTTTGAAATGCACTGGCATCTTAGGGAATATATTTGCTGGAAAAGACTAAGGACCACCTCACTGACATTTTCTCAGTGCAGCATTCTCTGTTTTGATCAAGGCAAAATCTCATTTTTACTAATTAGAAGTACATTTCCTAATCACCTCTTGCCCAAGCTGTACTGACCTGCATAAAGCCTGTCTCGGAAGGTATGGAGGGAGAAAGGGAGCAGCCCCATGCATCCCCAGGTTGTCATTCTAGCTCCTGATGGCTGTGCAGTGCAGGCACTGGCAGGTGGAGGATGGGCAGGCGTAGTTACTCCGCTGCACACGTTTTAGGGCTGTATCCATCTTTAAACTGCCTAATCTGCTAGTATTCACTGTGCTATTTGTTTTATACCTGTGTTAGCTGCTTAGATTTTCAGCAGTTATGCTGGAATTGTTCTGAGGGAACTATTAAAAACCTCTTTTACCTAGGGATCAGAGTGGAGTTTGGTGACTGGCTTGAGATGGACTGTTAGGCTATTCTCTAACTACAGTCAGAAGGAGACTGATGGATTTAGTATCTCTGTCCCTCCTTTCAATGATAGATTAGATAAGGTCAAACAAGATTTTCTGTAACAAGTTAGTTTGTTGGCAGCTGCCAGGCAACTGTTTGCTTGATTGCTTTAGAACAGAAGACAATAAAACACCATGTAAACCCACTCTTCTTTTGAATTTTGTGGCATATAAATACTCTTTTTCTGCACCAGAAACTTCTTTTGAAGTCTGCATTCAACAGGAGATTTGTCACTATGGGAGCAAGCTGTGAGCTTTCATTTCCTTCTGCCCAGTTTATGTACACACAAGTAAGGTATTCCTGTATAGTGAACTTAAACTTTAACTAAATTTATGAGCATGTAATGAGGTTGTTTCTCCTGGTTACCTTTGTGAAACCTTTAGAAATAGTTATCAGACCTTCTCTTCCCCTCCATTTGCCTCCCTGGTGTCTGCAGACTCAAGGTTCAAAACCTTGAACATGGAGTGTATCTCCTTCAAATCTGTAATCCATGAAGCAGAGTTAAGAGAAAATACTAAGTATGTGCTAGCAAAAGCTTAACCATAAAGTTCAGTATTCTTCCTCCAGAATGGTAGATCCTGAAATTTAATAGCCAACACTTTAAAACAAAAAACAAAACAAAACAAAACGCAAAAAAAAAAAAAAAAAAAAAAAAGAAAAAAGAGAGAGAGAAAAAAAAGTGGAACAACACGCTTGGGCACCAGAAGTGATGTTTAGGAAGCCCTGCTCTGAGTTGTTTCTTTGTTTCTTGCAACTATCCATGTCTTCAAAAGGGATGCTACCCTGGTACTCGCAATTGAGAGATTTTTGTTTTCTTTTTTTTTCATTTTCAGTTGTGGGTTTGTTGGGTGTTTTTTTTTGAGAAAATCAGCCTTTGGAGAAGTAGATGCTGAGAGCAAAAAAAATACACTGAAAAATAGTAGTTCAAGATGGAGTTATCTTCTATTTCCTCTAGATATGGCACTGCTGGACTTACCTTTGGTCCTCTCTGAATCTGATATGTTAAATGTGCTCACGTTACTTGAAAAATGTCTTCAGTATAAACTGCAAATTGCATCAGAAAGATGAGTTGTCACTTTCTAATACATGCTCATCTATATCAGCAGTTCTTCAGTTACAGTTAACACACAAAATGGAATGGAGTCCAGCACAGTGATTCTTATCACTGTTGCTTTACCACCATTAAAAATGTACTAAATTATCGCCACTGAATTCAGAAGTCTCTTGAATTCTCCAGAGAAAAAACATCTATTGAGTGTGTGATGTTATTTTTGTGAAGTCATTCTTTACATTAGAGTTGTAGTTTAGAAAAAACTGACTTATACTGCAAGTATAGTAAAATTGTTGTTAAATCCTAGTCTTGCAGAGTGATTAGGATTAATTTCCTACTCTGTGATTCTGCAGTGAATAGCCTCTTTATCTCGAAACTACTTAGTGTTTTGTAAGAGGTTCTGCAATGTGTGTGTTTCAGGGAGCTTGACTTTTAAGGACATGTGCACATCTTTCTTCTGCCCTAGCAGCTTGATGTAAAATTAAAATGTTGCAGGCTATGAAAAAGTAACTGAAAAGCAGTTCATGTAAAACTGTGTACTGTACAGGTGTGTGAGCTGTCCAAGATTGCATTTGTAATTCTGGCTCAGTTTTGTGTAATCCGTGTGTACAACAAAGGTGTGATTGCTCTATATCTGGAGTAGAAAATGCCAGTTTTTTTGGTTCTGTAACTAACACCTTTAAAAGCTATTTGATTTCAACTTTTAGCTGAAAATTTATCTCTGAATCTTTCAGTTGATGAATATATAATTAAAAGGATGTATTTGAATAGGACTAAAATTTGTAGTCTAAACAAAGTTACAGGAGTGCTTCAACAGAACTGATTCAGTAACGTTTTACTTGGTTCTTCTCATCCTTTAGGAGTGTATCAGAAGCGCTACATCTAATGAAATATGATATTCTGCCTCTTAACCCAATGATTCTAAGCTCAGAAGCTGATTCTGCTGGTACTCATTGCTGAGGTGTAAGCAGGCAGGATCTGAACATGTAGAAATTGGCCCCAGGGTGCTAGGAGGTGCATGCATATACTGATTATCCTTTTGACTATTGGCTTACTTCTTTGTTTCATGCTTGCGTGTTTTTTTTTTTTTTTTTTTCCCCAAAAAGGAGCTAAAAGTACGACTGTTCTTTCTCCCTCCAAAAGACATGCTAAACCTAAGCTTCCAAATCTTACTGTAATTGTTTCTAAGTTGCCCTCTTTTTGTTTTAAACAGCTCAACTCTAACAATATGTGCTTACAGTAATTTGTGGAGAAAGATGTTGACTCTGATATTATCCACTGTTGTTTCTTGATCCTAATTTAGATAAAGGACAACTGTGGTTATTTAGGAAAACAGTTCAAAAGAAGGGACAAAACTGATAAATGAAGGACTTTAAGAGACACTGAAAGAAATGGATTTTAATCTTGCATGTTAATTTTGGTTTAAAATTTTCCAAATAAACAGAACTTCAATACTAAAGCTTACTAAAAGCTTCTTCCTGAGTCTCAAAAGCACTGAATTGGATTTTAAATCAGGTGTAGTTTTTTTTTTATTTAACAGAAAATACCTCATTTTGTGTAAAATTTTATGGTTTCCATACCAGTCTTGTCCTTTTTCTAGGATATTTTTGATAGATTTTTTGTGTAGGTATCCCAGTTTGTGTGTGTAGTAACTCTTGTTAGCTGTCAAAAGGATTGACCAGTCTCTTGCATAGAGGGACTCTTCAAAAGTTATGGTTGTTTTTTTTTTTATGCTCTTAAAATCTTGATGTGAATTAAATGCAGTTTCTGCTGCAAGACTTTGAAGATTAAAGCTGTTATTTACATATGAGGGGAAAAAAGGTATTAGACAATTAGAGGCATTTTAGCAGGCACCAGCTCATTTTCTTAGATTATAAAAGTATTTCATCTTTCACAGTTGAGGGAGTGATCCTCTATACAACTCAGCTACCACTTTAGCTGATATTGGCAGGCTTTATATGAGTGCTTTATCCCTTTGATTAGATCTTGATTGCCACTCAAGAACCAGATACAGCTTGCAGCCATCTCACTTCAACTCGTGCAAGCATACGATGAAAGAACATGAAGATAAATGTTTAAAGCATGCCCCTCATCCTCTGTTTGAAAGGCTTATTAAGGTTCATCAAAGAAAGAATCCCTTATTTTTGGACAATTCTGAGCTTTGGTTTGCAACTGAGCGCCCCTCAGAGAGGATTTGGAAAGTTTACTTGCCTCTCTGCTATGTATTTTCAGGTGCTCTCACAGTTGGCCTTGTGCGACAGTGTCAAACCATCCATGGACGTGACAGGACCTGTATACCTCCACGGCTGCCTCCTGAGTGGGTCACTACGTTATTTTTCATCATTATGGGAATCATTTCACTAACTGTCACATGTGGTTTGCTGGTGGCTTCCCACTGGCGAAGAGAAGCTACTAAATATGCCCGCTGGATAGCTTTCACTGGAAGTAAGTGACCTCAACTACACAGTTGACCTGTATGCAGGATAAACTGGTGGAGTCTAAAATAACACTACAGTGTTGTCAAGGAGCAGTGCTTAAGTCTCTTACTAGACAAAACATTCCTTCTCTTTAAATATGATGTCTGAGGGAAAAATAAAATTCTTCAAAAACCAAGGGGTTAATAAGTGACTATAACTGAGAGGGATTAATAGACTGTGGGCCCAAGGTGAGAGAGAGGAAGGCCTGACTCCTTTACCTTCCTTGGACAGTGCCATTAATTGACCCTGAGAATTAAGCAGTCAGTCCTGATTTGTGTGCCTGATAGTCTTTCGTACTTCCCCACTCCCATATATATCCAGGATTTACTTCTTCCAGAATAGAATGACTGAAGTTCCCTTCCCTAGCAAGAGGAGGCACCTGAGACTTGCTACAGTCTGTAAGTCCATCCCCACTTCTGGTGTCTTATGAATACTTCATTCAGGGTTGATGCTGGTTCATACTGCTTCATGCTCACAGCGGGCATTTTATTCAGAATATCTGCATCCTAATTGGCTATGCAGGAGGATTGCCCACTGCAGAGCATCTGCTGTGTTTCACAGCACTGAGACTTTTGCTTCCTTAAGTGACCTGCAGCAGTGCTTTAGCTGGAGGGAGGAGTACTAGTGTTTTTCTGCTTCTCTTGATTCTGTTCCATATGAGTATCAGCATAACTTCTCACAGCTGAGCTTCCTCTAGCAGCCCCATGTTTCCACACAGGGAAACATATCCTATGGCTACTTTGGTGCAAAAGAAAAACAGTTATAATGAGTAAGGGGAATAACTTTCAAACTTCCTTTTTTTGGTGTGTGTTACAGGCTTAGCCCAACTGTGAAATGGTGCCTTAATGGTGGGGATGACAGCATGAAAAAACTCAAAACCTGAGGGCTTTTAAATTGACTTGAATTATGACATACCACTAAAGGTAGTGTGAACACTAACTAGAAAATGCAAGTTTGTGGTTTACACAGGCATAAATAAGGTTTAATGGAACTCTGTGGCATCTAATGATATCTAATATGAATGAGATTTAACCTTGTTTTGTGGGAGGGAATAATATCAAAAAGTGCTCAGCTTCAACAAAGTTACTTCACTGAGGCACTTGTACAATCAAAGCCATCCTTCTGACAAATTTGCTACACAGCATATTAAATTAATTGTGCAACTCTTGGAGACAATCGAGCTATTGAAATGCTGTATTTGTTATGATTGGCTTTTATTTATCTTCTGGCAAATGATTAAAATAGCAGACATGAGTATTACTGAATATTCCATCCCAACTTTTCCACTGCTCTTGTTTATCTATACATATTTAATGTATATCTAATATATGCAGGGAGGATTTAAACTCAAAATGCCATATAAAATTAAGAATCTTACAGTGAGCTGAAATCAAAGCTCTACAGTAAAGAAGGTTTTTGGAGTACTATATATATTAATAGTTGAAACCATAATTTATTTACTGAGGTTTTTTCTTAATTCAGAGCTTGTATTTTGAGCTTTACATATTTTAATGTGTTGGGGTTTTTTTAAGTATCTCCAATTGCCACATCCCTGCATCTTTAGTTTGTACAACTGTGATGGTTAGTTCAATCAAAAAATTTGGTAGCCTGAAGGTGTTTGTTTTTTTTCTGTAGATTTCTCTAGGCTTGCAACAGGTCCATTATTAGAAGTCTAAATATAGAAGGACATTCTTTTATTTCAGCACTTGCCTTTTTGTTATGAGATGTTTAATAATGAAACATATTCATTTGTTCTTTTGCAAGTCTGAATTATTCATAATTCTATTAAGATATGATTGCTGTGTTGCTGAAATTCTAAAATTCAACATCTTTGGTATTCATCTCCAATGCATACAACTCTGTGACCTTTGCATTCCTGTTAATGATGATGATGGGAAATTTCATTGCTTAAGTCTCTTGTAAGAAAAGTCATTCTTGGAAAATAAATGAATGGGAGGGAGATTTTTTTTTTTTTTTTTTTTTTTTTAAAGTTGAGAATTGTGACTTCTGTGATTCATTGGATGGCAATTAGTAATCTATTTGTACATCAGTATTAGGAAACATGTAGCCATGTGGAATCAACTTGGAATACCATGAATAGGTCCTTCCCATGAAGTGCCAGGGCTGTATGGTGAAAACATGTGTAACTCATTAGAAGGGGGTAGGGAAAACTTCATGGTTGTATGACATCTCTTCTGCAAGCAATTTCAAGACTCAACAGCGTAGTACAAGCTGCTAACAGATATTCTTCTCACAGAACTTTATGAACACCACATAGGACTTGCTATCCCAGGCAGGCAGGGAAGTCTGCTGGGAGTGCCGAGGGCAGCTCTGGAGCTGGCAGCTCCATTCTCTTCAAATGCAAGGCAGGTCTAGAGTAAATCATCTCAGAGCAAGGGAAAACTCTTGCTCAGCCCTTTCCTTGCAACTCTGACAGCAGCAAGGAGAGCCCGGTAAGAGGTCACTGTTGCCCAGTTAATGCTGGAATTTGTATATAAATACATAGCTTGTATTTTTCATGGAATTTTTACTTGTAGTCTTGTCATCTTGGATGACTCCAGATTTTTCAACTGTGTATCTCTAAATACGATTTATTGCTGACAGTGGTGTTGTCTATTCTGTTTAGCTAAGGGACACACAAAGGACAGGAGCTTGATCTGTTGATTCTGTTTCCTGTATAACTTCTAAAAGAATACACCCAAGAGATTATTTACTAGCACAGCGTTTGCATCCTTCCCCAGCCATTGGTGGTTTTACTGCACAGAAATGTGTCTTTATGGCTTCTCTGCAAAACAGCATTGTGGAAAGGAGAGATACTTGCCTTTTACAGGTCATACTGCATAAGTGACAAACATTTTCTAAAGGCAAATGCGAAAGTTTTCCCTCACTTTCTGTAGAGAAGAGCCTTTAAGAATCACAGTGTTCATACTGATGTGACAGATACTGTAACTTTGGACATAGATACTGTCGAAGCTATCATTGCTGTGTGAGTCCTGTTAGCTGTAGTACCAAATTCATACAATGTAATGGAGGGTGGACTCCTCCTTCATGTTCATTGGTGCACTGCCCAGGTCTTTGTGTGCTTCTTCGTTGAATAAGACCCTGCAAACTCACAGACGTGCCTCGTGTATTGATAGCAGCCAAAGATATGATCAGTTATTCCTTTTCATGGTATTATATACTTATTGCTCAGGTGTAAGCTAACAGCCTGTTACCATCCCAGTTTCTATACCACTTCATCAGTAATTAAGCACAGTGACACAGTGGCATAAGTTGATAGCAGAACAAGTAACTTGGATTTGGTATTGTTCCCCATATCTCTGAAACTGCTCCTTTTTTGCTAGCCCTACTTCAAATTTACCTAAAACCCATGCCTTTTCAGGGTGCCTGTTATGCCATCTTCTGATTTAGAAGATAGAGTATGGTAAACCTAGGGTAAATCTCAAATGCTGTGATTTCCATGGTCTTTGGAACAGACACTGTTAGCTTCCATAATTAGAAACAATGTCCAGAGCTTATTCTCTGTGGAGGCCACCTGGGTGGTCTTATATATGTTATAGCAATCTTGGCTATTGCAGGAATTCACAGAGCTCCCACAAGATCTGTTTACACCTTACACAGATTCTGGTCTCTTACCATCTGCTACAACTAGAAAGGGAATTAATTCTGTTTCTGCTGCCATTGAATTGGGTGCTTCTCTGAGATGTATCAAGCGAGGGGATGCTGGACAGAAAAATCGTATTTCTACTTTTTTTCCCAACAGTTACCAGAGTTTGTTATTCTTTTTACCTGAGGATTTAAATGTTCCTGAGTATAATGGACCTGCTTTTTGGAATGCAAGTAAAAATGGGGCAGGATAATCACATTCTTAACTAACAGTAACTATGCTGAAAATGTCAGTCTCTGGTGTTCCCCAGTGAATAAAGTGCTGATTGATTTATTAGAGATTTGCACCTTGTGCTGCTTTCTGTGTTATGAATCTCTAAAGAGGCAAGCAGGTACTACAATGAGCCCTCTAAAGACTAGACCATATCTTTTTTCTTCTTTTAATATGCTGTATCCTGCATTTTTGGAAGTTGTCATTGGATGTGCAAAACAATTTCAAGTTAAATTAAAGGAACTAGATCTTTTTTGACAACTACCATTCAGAAGCAAACTAGAAATTATTGTGCTTGGTTATTTTTGTTAATAGAAATTGTAGTCATTAAGTGTTTTTTCTGCAAATTTTCCTACCCAAGGGAGAATTTGAAATCATAAGCAAGTACTCTTGAGGGAGGTGTTCTTTATGGGCTCCTGGAAAATCACCAAGTTGATACTAACAGATATGGAGAGTTAGATTTGGGCTAGAGCTTATGTAAGAAATTCCTATCCTTTAGCTTACAAACCTCCTTCTGGAAGAAAACACACTAAGTTGACTAAGCACTTCATGTCTGGATTTTCTCCTTAGTCTCTTATTTTTCAAAAATAAATTTATCATACAGTCTTAATGACTTCTCAAAACTTTGTCATAATTCAGGCCTCCTAATCTGACAGAGACTTCAATGAATCTGTTTTTCATTTGCTGTTTCAGTAGACTAAAAATTCAGACCACGCTAAGAAAAACTGCTTGGACATCCTCAGAGCAGAACACGTGCACTGTTATTTGGAAGAGAAGAGATGGCTGGTTACTTCTGTAATAAATGTTTGAAATGTGTTTGCATATCAGCATTCTGCACACTGTCTGGATGTGCAGAATTTTTTTTTTTCTCCTGCTGTGAACTGAGGGAGACTTAAGGTACCTGCACCCTTCTGTCCCCAGGCAGGAACACAAAAAGGAGTTGCTGGGCACACGCTCTCCTTGGCGGTACAGTGCCACTAGCCAGTCTCAGGCCTGGGAGCACTGGTGCATGTATGTACAGCACATCTCAGAGCCCATTGGTTTAGCAGAGAGAAATAAAGATCTATTCTTTAGCCATATCCATGAGGCCATCAGAACTTTTCCAGCTGTGTAGTTTTTGAATGTAATAAAGGAGATTTAATCTTGAAAGTGCAGGTTGTTTTCAGATTCTTAAAGCTATTGCCTTTTAAGTGTGTTATTGTTAAAACATAAAATATAACTGGAATGCTCATCAGGGACAAACTGGATGTAATAGGAAGTGTGCTGAGTTATGATAATGTGACTCATCCTCAGAATATTGTTCAAACTGTTACTAATTTTATGTTGCATTTGCTTATCACACATCAAGCCCTCTTTTCTGGACCTCTCAAGTATAGATCTCTTCCATGCTTATACATACCTGCTTAAGAAACAGACACCAAAGCTTTCTCTTCTCCGATGGGCCAGCTGTTGGTTAAGACACAGCTTAAAAAAGGGAAACGTTCTTTAAGGATTGGATTGTGTAGTGCATGGAATTATGTGCACCAATAATCATGTAGATTAAAGCCTTCTAGATTATTTAATGTTTAACATCTGGTTGCTGGTTCTTTGTTTTTGTTTTAATAGATGCCCTAACGAGGTAGCACTGAGCGAGAATGCAGTAACTGTGCCGTTGCCAGATGGTTTTTGTGGGTGCTCTTTTTCTTCCCCTTTCAAAAAATTAACCCGCCAGCGCGGTTGCGCCGCGCGCGAGGCACGAGCGCCCTCTGGCGGACCGCGTGATTTCCCCCCTCAGAGCTGTGCGCGGCGGGAAGGGCCTGATGGGGGAGGCCCGGCCCGCCCCGCGTGTTTCGGAAAGCAAGGAGCGGCTGGTGTTCCGGTGTGGAGCTCGGATTATCGAACTGCCCTTTTTTGTTAATGCCCGAGTCCTAACTGGACGGTTTTTGAATTCAGGTTCATCATAACCATTGCTAGTCTCCTGTAGAACATGAGTGTGTTTTTCTCAAAGCTGAGATCTGTGCTATGCAAATCATAAGGTTTGAGCATGAGCATATAAAATATGTGATAAACTATTCATCTTTGATAAACATGGAGTCTGTTTTAAAAAAAATAGTATGGGCATGTAACACTGTAGCTGGATAAACTGGAGCATGTGTATTTAGTCAGAAAGAGCTGTAGTGAAGTTACATTAAAAAATATTGAGGCTGCTCCAGCCCATCATTTCCTTATTTGGGAAGACTAGAGATTTTGTCCTGGTAAGGCAAACGGGACAGGTGAGCTGCTGAATTTATTTTACGTACCTCTGGAAACAAAAGCAGCTGCAGCACTGCTGACTTGCACAGGAACCCATGATGAAAACAAGGGCTATTACTATTCCCAGTGGTTTTTACTGTTGCTTGTTTGACTTGTGTGGAAGCTCAAGCAGGGAACAGCGTCCCCAGAGTTTGTTCTGTCTCTTAGTGTGGTGGCGAAGAAAAAGGGGAGACTAGGACAGCACCTGTGTGTCTTACTAATAAACAAAAAGCAGCAGTCTGTGTTAACTGAGAGAAAACTGAAAAAAAAAATAGCATTTAGTGCACTTTATTCAGGCAGGAGCATTGTAACTTGGCTTGAATTTTCTTTTTCATGTGACTAAGTTTATAGGTAGACTTTAAGGACTAGGAGAGGCTTCAGTATTAGCTGTGCATCATGTTAGGAGATGGTAGTATGTGGCTTTATAGGGTTGGTGGGATATCTTTCCCCCCAGATATAACTGAGGTTTGGCTGAATGGGTATTGGGATGCCATATTCCATGCACAATAAATAAGATTTGAAACAAAGTTGAAGTACATAGAAGTGATATAGGAATAAAGCACTAATAGTTGACTGAACTGGTAGAATCAAATACAATTCTGTGTTATTCTAATACTGATAAAAATCCTAATTGTATATTTTTGCATATGCAATCAAACCAACCAAAAGCTAATCCTTTTTATTGTGAAGAATGTCTTGCCTCTTAGAGGAGCCATATTTGGAAGTCACTCCCTTGGTCAAGACAGTAGAGTCCTGCGTATTGCTGTGTTCAAACTTCAGAGGGTTACTTACCCAAAGGTATGTTACAGGAACACTGAAGTTGTCATCTGGGAGAGATTACAACACTGGATATTCTCTCCTGGATTTGATCAGACTACTGAAATGTGCTGTGAGGAATGTTGGCCACTATTGATACCTGAAGGCCTGTGAAATCTGTAATGTAATTTTAATGAATGGCTTTAATAGGAGTCCTGGCATCTTTTTTGTACACCTACACAGTCAGTTGTAAACACAAACCATGTACATAAGTCTAACTGTTCAGGTGAAATAAAAAGCCTCATTGCTTGATTCTCTTTGTTCATGGAGTCTGAATTTGAAGCTTTTCACTAAGAAGCTTACATTAAACTGCATCAGAAAACTTTCTTTGTATTCCAATGGAAAATCTTAAGGATATTGCACTACTTAAGGAAACATTCATATAACTTTAGATGTTTGAATCTAAAAATCTCTAATGACCATGTATGTGTTTTCTGTTTTTAGCAAAACTTTTACAGGAAAGGAATTTATGTGGAAGAATGAGAGAGGGCAACTACCGTTGGAAAAAGGCAACTGATAATAGCAAAGGAGTTTCTTCAATGTTGAATGTTAGTTTATCTTGACTTTGGGGGAAAATTACTCTAAAATAACTGGAGAAATAATGAACTCTGTAACTAAACTTGTGGACAGTGGTAGAAGTACATCCACCAAATTTTTATTCTGTAAAGACAGTTCATGATCTAGTGAGCAGGACCGAAATTACAATCAAAATGGGAGTCTTTCAGTCTTTCTTGGGAGTAGATGAGCAATGTTGTAAAAGCAAGTTAAGTACTGGAATATCTTAGCTCTTCAGTTTGGTCAGAATACTTGGCTTACTTTTCTGGTCTGCTCTATGAACTGGTAAATATTTTAACACAGCAGTGACCATTTCTTCTTTTCTCTTTTCTTTGCAGTGATTCTATTCTGTATGGCAGCCCTAATATTTCCAATAGGATTTTACATCAATGAAGTTGGAGGTCAACCATATAAATTACCCAATAACACAGTGGTTGGGTCTTCATATGTACTGTTTGTCTTATCCATTTTCTTTACAATAGTGGGACTTCTATTTGCTGGCAAAGTTTGTTTACCTGGCTGATGAATGTCTGAACTGCAAGACTTTATTTTGGAAAAGAGCAAGACATCATAATTGCATTCTCAGGAGGATGCCTAGATCAGACTGTCAAACACTTACTGAAAAGAGGAATGCTTTGACTTGTTCTCACTATGCACTTTGGATGAAAAAAGGAGAGCCTTTCCCATAACCAAATACAGACAACGCTGACTGATCTCCTGAGCATATTTAATGCAGTCAGGTCTGCACTGTGATAGGAACTAGTGAAGAATGCTTTACACTGAGAAGCATAATGCCCCACATTACTGTACTGTTCCTGTTTTTAACGTCTAATGATTTGGAAGTCAAAGTATTTATGAACTTTGTGGTAGACCAGAGGGTTGCAGAGGAATTCAAGTGAGGCTGGCCTCACTGTTTAGGAGATTAGTATTTTACATCTTCCTTCTGATGAGCAAAGCCTTTGGCACCAATGTGGATCAATCTTGCATTACTGCACCAAGAAGCCAATAGATCAAAACACGTTCTCTAAATGTATGTAACAGCAAGAAGACATACATCCCCTCCTCCCCCATAAGCTCTAGAAAAACACTAAGGAACATTGTAGAGGAGGATTTCTTCCTTATATTTATATAAATATATATATAAATATATATATATTTTGCTGATGCAGTATACAGTGTGTGTGTATGTGTATGTGTGTGTATATACACATATATGTATATATATGTATATACACACAAATGGTTCCTGGAAAAGAACTCAGAATGCTTTGCTAGCAAAACACTGTGGTGTGCAAAACTAGAACTCAATAGAAAAAAGCCATTTCTCTGAAGGCCACATAGCTGAGAGTCTTCAGTTTACCTCATTCTTTGTAGCAGCCCTTGATTTTAACAGGTTTTGTAATAGGTACAAATGATCCCATGCCTTTCTAGGTGCAATTTTAAGTTAAGCTAAAATTCTTTTTATGGTAATTTATTTGTATATGAGGGTAGAAAGTGAGATCATGTCATACCTTAAAATCCTAGTTTTGGGAAACTGACACTATTTAAATTATTAGCAACTGTTGTACAGAAAGTCTCTTTTTCTACTGCACTGTTACATTAGCATTCATACATGTTCAAGCACAGCATTTTACCATTGATAAGCAATTCTCTAGCACATGTAAAATACAATGTTTAAAGTAATGTACACACTATTCCACTGCAAAGATGGATGAACTTATTTTCGTTTGAGTATTAATTCATCTTTATCAAAAAAAGAGCAATATAATTGTTTAAATAATACATGCATTGTTTACTAAAGTTGATATTTTAAATGTGGATTTAAGGGTCACCCAAGTTGGAGTAAATATTTCTCACTAAAGGTAGTTTTATTTTTCAACAAAAGGATAAACCTTTGAATCCACAGACATCATAATTCACTATTCAAGCTAACCTTGCAGAACATACAGTTTAGTGTCCCAGGAAAGCTGCCTGCACTATCAGTATTTATTTTCCAGTTAATACGTGGTTTACCTGAGATTCAGGTTAAAAAAAAAAAAAAAAAAAAGTGTGTTTCAAGTGCTGTTTCATTGAGCTTATTAAAGACTGTGTTGCTAAACAGACATTTTTCTAAAATGTTGGTGAAAGTGTATTTTAGAATGAGGTGGTTGTTAAAATATAATCATCAGTTTCCAAAATAATCACTTACCACGTAAGCTTAAGTGTTTGAAAATAAGACGATTTGCACAATTCTTTTAAACTCTGTGCCATTCAGACCCCAGCAGGCTCCTGTCCTCCCCCTCACCAAGGTATTTTAATACTAAGAGGTTATTTGCTGAATTAAGTATTTTTTCTTTTGACGTTTTTGAACAAACTTGACTGGACTGGTCTGTAAGTGATGGGTTTTTTTCCAGTCAGCTCACTCACAGGTAAAAGGGAGTGTTTATAGAACACTAAATTTTTCTGAAGTATACTAATCTGTAAACACACCTAAGCACCTACTTGGAAGTAATGATTTAAATATGATTTGGTTCTTAATTTAAGCCTTCATCTGCATGGGTAGTCTGAGGTCCCCAGTGATACTGGTGGATATAAAATGCAGGGTGCAGCTGCCGGATGCATGTCTAAATTTGTGGTGTTATCACCGCTATATCCTAAGCTGAAATATTCGCTAAAACTTAGATCATAAATTATGTTGAAAATAAAAAAAAAATCTCTTCTTTATTTCAGAAATGTCACTGTTGTAAATAGTTCTAAGAGATTTTTGTAACTGGAACACGGAGGTGGGGGGAAGAGTTTCTCAGCTGCTAAGATTTCTCCCCCACACTCAGCTTACTTATTTCAGTTATAGCAACATGGTGTATACAGTGGATTTAGGCTTAGATTAAATGGATCATAATTTAATAAAAAAATATAAACACTTATTTTGGAGCATACCCAGACTCTGGCTGGCTGGAAATTTATCTGCATTGCCAGTGCTATTGCTATGAATTATTAAGTGATAGCAGAGATTTAACTAGCAGATTGTTTGATTCAATATTTGAGCATTTAAAGTCCAGAAATAGATGCAGCCATCTGCATTAAAACAAACAAACAAACAAGCGAAAAACCACCCAGTAATTGAAGAGACAGCTGTCAACAGTTGCTTTTAATAAGGTCACTAAGTACTATATAGTACAGTATTAATTTATAGCAGAAAAATCATATCTTATAAACTGTATATAAAACACTGTTTTATGGTGCAATCATTTGTCATACTTATGTCTGTTACTTTTGTTTTAAAGTTGTGTGCGTTCTTTTCATACCTAAGATCATCACTGTAAAATCTGCTGAAGACTATTTATAGGTTTTATTTGCACAAGGTTTTGTTTTAAACTAAAGGAAGTTTGCATTGAACATGCCTAATCATCTGTAGACTTTTTCAGTTCATGTAAAGCAATGTTTCCATATGAATCTTCTCCAAAGGTGATCCCGTATTTGTGTTCAGTGTTTACATAAACTTTCCTGATTTTGCCAGCCATTGTATTTAACTTTTTGAAGGACAGCTCATTTCATGTGTCAGCAGGGTTCTAATTTAGTTGTCTTCAAAATTCCCCTGAAGGTTTGAGGTCCCATCATAATGGCACACTTTGTCATTTATTTGGCTAACAAAATGTAAGATCGGAAACTTAAAATACCTTCAGAAGGAAAACTAGTTAATTCATCTGTATAAATCTTATCATTGAACTCAGATGAAATAATCTCCTGGAAGCTGTTTGTCTCAGACCTGGGGAGGATCTGCTTCCCTGCACGCACCAGTCTAACCATTTAACATAAACATACTTTTCTGTTGTTAATCTTGCTGGCAAGTGGTACCAGTTTCCCAAAGACGCTGGTAGTGTGCAGCACCACCTGAGCCTGGTCCTCTGGCTGAACTAAAGCCGCCAGATCAGGGCCCTCCTATTGTACCTGTGTTTCAGAGCCGTTGTTTAACCACTTCAGAACACAACTGTAGATTGCTGTTTGCCCCAACACACACACACAAAAAAAAGAAAAAAAAAAAAAAAAAAAAAGCTATCCTTTAAAACCTTTGTGAAGGATGAAAATAATGAAGGAAATGGTGTCTGCAAGCCGGCTGTCCTGCCTGGGCGTCGTGTCGCTCCCTGCTCGAGGCCTGACCGTCTGCATCCCCCGCCCCGGCCTTTACTGAGGATTGTTTTCTAATTGGTTAGAACACTTTTCAATTAATGATTTCCGAACAAATGTTAATACAAACTGTATAAAATGAACATAATTTTCTTCACTTGTATTTTTGTTATTGAGCAAGTTTATCAAAATAAATTGTCTACTAAAGCGACTGGCTCCGGCTGCGCTGACTGGATGCGGCCTCCGCCTCGCCCGGGTGTCTCCTCACTCCGGCGGGTTCCTGCCCACGCCCGCCCTCAGGCGGCGGGAAGCGGCGCGGCTCCTCCCGCGGGCAGCCGCTCGGTCTCCACCGGCAACGCCGTAACACGGCGGGGCGTGGGGCTGGGTTGCTCCCGGGCCCGGCCGGCACCCGGCCCGCACGGCAGGAAGGGTCGGGTGAGTGACGGGAGGTTCCTTGGCCTAACGATGCTGAGGGGGCTTAGGGGATCCCTGTCAGCGGCGCGGTGTCCGCCCAGGATTCCGGGACGTGCCCAGGTTGGGGGGGAGGCGGGGAAGGGGGAGCCTTTTCCCCGGTGAGGTGAGTCTCGGGTCTGGACGGCGCGGGGTCGGTGGAGGTGAGGGGAGTCTCGGGGGAGGGGACGGGACGAGACGGCGCGGGGAGAGAGCTACTCTGACACCCGCTGGTGAGCTGGAGGGCAACGGGCGGCTGGGGATAGAGTGAGACGGCTGAGTCCAGCGAAGTGAAAAGCAGGATTTTTGATCGGTTTTGCCCTGCTCTTACAGCGCCCCAAACACGAGAGCAGCCGTCCGTCCCCGCGTGTCGCAGCCCGGCTGCTCCCGCTGCCCCTTTGGCCCCACCGCGAGTCGCCGTCGCCCGTAGATCTCTGGGTTTTGCTCTGGTTAATCTTTTTTTTTTTTTCTGTTTGAGGTGCGTAGCTTGTCTTCTAGCAGCAGTGTATACATATAATTCACTGCATAAAACCCCTTAACAAATGCCTCTTGTAGAATAGTCCTTCAAGGTGTTTTCTATATATGGATAATTGTAGCTTCTCTTTGCAGCTGTTTTTTAATTTGCTGTTGTCCCATATGCAATGTAATTATCATATAAGTTGCTGACAATATTAATACCTTTTTTTATAGCACATATTCTTGATTATTTAAGCTTTTTAATACTTTGTCTTTTTGCATTTTTTTTAACAAGGCTCTCTATTCATGTAATGGATACACACATCAGGAATATGGCACAGTTGCTGGACAATGATCAGTTTTTGGAAAAAGTTGGGTGAGGATACTGTTATAAAATCTTGTTGGGACTTCATATGTAGATAAGGAGTAAATAACTGTAGCTCATATAAACTTACGTACTATGTCCCTTCAAAACACTTATATCAAATGGAACGTGTAACTAAATATCAAAGTGTAAAACAGTTCCTACAGAAAAAACTTGTGAAGACTTTATGACAATACAGAAATATTATGGGTAATAAAGTCATCCCATAAAATTGTCTTGCAGGGTGACCACAAAATCCAGTCTACAGGGTGATCATCCACCATGGCACGATTTTACTATGTCTCATCTAGGACCAGATAATGGATTGCTGGTAATACATATCAACAAGACACACAATCTGCTGGTAGGCAAGTTTTCCTGCTAAATGGAGCAACTAGAAAGCAACACATACCCACTATAAATACAGAATGGGGAATAATTAAGCTGATAGACAACCAGTATATTTTTTCACAAATATACACACAGACAATTTCACTAAAATTATGAAACTACATATAGTTTCTCTGCAGAGATGAATCAGTCTGAACAAATCAGGCAAAACAATAAAGGTAGATCAACTGTTGATACTGCATTCTTCTTTAGAAAAGCAGAATTCAATATATACCCCTTCAAACTATGTGGGGCAGGTTTCAGTAATGCTTAGTTTTAATTCCTCTCTGCTAAATCACTGGGGTATTTCTTTTATTAAATTCTCCTATTTCTTGTCTTCCTTACTGTATCCTCCAAACTAATCTTTCCTTCCTGTTCCTTTAGCTCACAATCTGATGATATTCTTAAACTTTTTCCTTTGCATCCCACATTCAAAAGAGTATGCCAATACCTCAAGTTATGTTCTTGGATATGCACTGCCTACCAGCAGCTGTCCTTAGGGCTTACATTTTTGTCACATTTGAACAGCACGTTTATTTTCTCACACTGCATTTAATTTTTTCTTATTTGATCTATAGAAAGTGCAAATGAAGGAAATACAGTCTGAAAAGATGCAAACCACAGAAGAATGGCTAAGAAACTACAGTTTAGATTCCTTGCAACTAACATTAGAGCATCTGATAAATGAAGGCACTATTATCTTGTAAGTGTAACCCTGCCCTTTCTTTAGTCAGTCCTAATTTGTGTGTATCTCTGATGCTAATTCTGCATAGTGTTCCAGGAATTCAAGAAACGGTGTTGAAGAGGTAGAGTTTACAGAAGAGACTGTTAATGATTTTGAGTCCAGACTTTCTGAGTAAGTATCCATCTTGTTTATGATTCTGATGCATAACTGATTATATATCCTCATCCCCCATGATTACAGGTACTGTTTTAAATCCGAATTTGTTATCTGGGAACTTCAGAGTATCTCAGCGTTAAACCCCTTCTGCTGAAATTTAGGGTGGGTGAGAATTATGTGCCACTACAGGTGAGGGGGTTTTATTTTTTTAATGAAGATACCTGTCAACCAGATTTTGAACTGAAGCAGCTCATTTTAAGAAGGCAGCTAGTGAGCGGCTGGGTTTTCACAGGTAATACTGTTTATTTGTGTGTTATGTTTACTGTAACTTGCATTAGTTTCAAGTCATGGATGTAGTGATGGTATGTGGAAGTTAAAAGTTTTATAAGTGAATTCTACATTTATAAACAAATTGAATAAAACATTTAATTAATAGGTTAAATGAGCTGTAGTCATAATGTTTTTGCTAGTCTTAACAATACTTGTTAGACTGTAGGAGTGCCACTACTTCAGCGTACCTCACTGTCATGAAGATCCAGAGTCTTCAGAAAGTCCACCTTGAGTATTTGGGCCCTGCACCATCTCAGCAAACTATCTGCAAATCTGGTTTAAAAAAGAAGTAGCTTTTGTGTTTTGAAAAAGCAAAAAGTTTTTCCCCCTTTGAAATGTTGATTTAAACTTTCTGTTTGTCAAATTGTAAAACCTATGCACATGGTATTAAAATTGAATTGGTTGAAGTAAAACAGTCTTGGAGGACAGCAAGCACTTTGTTTTACCTCAGGTTATACCTGTTTTGCAATGAAATTGTTTAAAGTTGTGCTGCAGTTAGTCTAGCACTTCAGTGAGTGCATGGCCTTTCAGTCACAAGGTTATATTTTATGAGTGTCTTAAGGAATAATGCAGTTTGTATTAAATACATCCTGACAGTAAGTCCTGACAATAACCTATGTGTAGTGAACTAAACTCAGTTTTGCCTGAGCTTCAGTTCACGCATGCACGTGGTGAATATCCCTCTCCTATCTCTGAACAGAAGACCCAACAACTGATTAGAAGACATTTCAGTGATCCAGTTTTTCAGACAGCTGCATACCTAACAGTCAAACAGTGTTAGGGGAAGAAGTATATAAATGGTTAGTCCTGCAACCACCAGCAGTGTGAGAACACTGAAAACAGTATTTTTAAAAGCTGATTTTGCATCTGCAAGAAAAAGGATGTGATGAAGACAAATGGTTGAATGTTACATTGATACATAATGCAAGAGAATGCCTTAGCTAAATGTGTGCTATGCCTTTTGTCAGAGTGATTGAACTTTATCAGCATCGAATTCAGTGGCTGTTGCAGGACAGCAGAAAGGTAACTCACTTTGTAGTATATTTTTAGAATGGAACTGTATAAGGCATTAAAGTATAAATTAACTTTTGAATACTAGTGAAAAGTGGCTTCCAGAAAGCTTATATATTTTCTTCATTTACTATGAGTTACACATCATGTACAGTGATACTTACCTTGACAATGGATTGTTTTTCTTGATCTTTTAATTGGTATCCGGTTTTCTGCTTTCTAGATCTAGTCTTTCTCTTGGCAGTCTTAATCATCAGGACCTCTCAGTGTGATTTAAATAATGCAAGCAGACAATGCTGAGCTGAACCTCTCAGACTGGAGTGGAGCTGTCTTGTGCCCTCTCTTGCACAGATGGTTAATCGCTTATTGTGCCTAGCAGTGCTAATGCTCAGGAAAGGGAGACATAACTCCCTCTTGAAGGGGATAGAGAAAGAAGCAGCACTCCAATCTAGCTTCCACTGTGTTACTTGATTTAACCTGAAGGAGGTGCTGTAGACAAAGTTATTTTTTTTATTCTCTCAAATAATGAATAGGTTGTCTTGGGAAGAAGCAAATATTACTCACTGGTAAGGATAAATTGGCAGTGCTCTTTTTATTTTTTTTTTCCTTGACTTTGTCACTGTGTCATCTTTGTGCTAAAAAGCTTAAAGTGAAAATAAATACTTCATACTTGATTTAAAATGGTATTGTACAGCATAAACTAACATTTTAAAACTTTAGATAAATTTAGTATTTACAATGACTTTTCTCTTTTAAGGTGTTTGGCGTTATAAAAGGAACCAAAGTTGGACTTGTGGTTGATGTCTCTGATATGAGTTATGGACCTAGACTACTGGATTTTCAGAAGGACCTTTTGGTAAGTAAGAATAAAGCAGACTTTGGCAATTATAACATACTAATCAAGCTTTTGTATAACTACAAGCCAGGAAAAAAGTAGAAAAAATCAGCTTAAATTCATAATATACAATGTCTAAATCCAAACAAACTCCAGTATGTACCATAATAATAGTATTTTCATATTAATGTTTGGAAGTTTCTCAGTTCTTGTATCTGCACTCTCTATGGAATAAACTTGCCTAACAGAAACAGCTGTAAGAGCTAGAACCAAGTTC